ACGCGAAAACAATGCCGTTAACTCTTACAGACGTTTCAAATTGTCGCTCTGATCGAGGATGATCGTAGTGAGCGTTATGCATGTTTTGAGGGTGGCCGGTTATTTTTGTCGGTCAGTGTATATTCCAGTAAATTTTACTCAATACGTTTTGTGAACAAACGAAGCCACATTCACAAGAAAAGTGGTTTTCAGTACGTACAATAATCATTGGGCCACAGAAAATCTCCTTGTCATGCGCCAAAGCTGTAACTAACGAAAATTTTTAATTAACATTTGGGCTGGAATAACAGACAGCGATTTGTTGGGAGCAAAGACCTTCAAATTATAATGGAAAATTTGCAATCTCCAATGATTCCCAGTACGTGGTTGCAGTTAAACGGTGGTCCTCTTCACCGTGCAAGATCAGTTAAATATTGGTTAAATAATAGTTTCCTAGGAAGATAGATTAGTTGGGGTAGCCCCCTTGTTCCCCGGATCTAATCCACTCGATGTTTTTCTTTGAGGCCACTTTAAACATTTGGTTTATGTAACAGTGTCGGCAAATTTTGAAAAACTGCTGCTGCGAATTTTTGCCAGTGTGGAATCTGTTAATCCGCAGATGCTAGAGCGGTGCAGGGCTATATCATAACTTATGATATAGCTTGTTTTCATGTCTTATGATTCATAAGACATGAAAACTAGAGATGTACCGACTGTAAGTCTGGCCGACTAACCGACTAGCCGACTGTTCGGCCAGTAAAAACCGACTAGTCGGCCGACTGTTCGGCTTTGCTAAAACCGGTTTATAAATGCGACAGACAGTGTGTTTTCTCTTTCTATTTCTCTGACTACCTTAAAAATTTGTTTTATTTTAATAAAAGGAATAACTAAAGTTCCTTTGTTTTTCAAAAAATGTGTTAAATTTGTTTGGATAATTTTAACATTTAATTTTTTTTAGTAACTCTCTACAAAAATAAAGAATAACACAATTTAGAGCCAGTTTATACAATATTTTAACTGAGATTAAGTTGATCGTGCATTTAACAAGGCCATTAGCGACGTCTGATTGGCGTAGAGTCGGTCACATGGTACTTTAACGCAGGGTTAAAAATTAAATCGCAATTAAATATTTAATTGAGGTTCTGTAAACCGGGTTTAATTGCTTTATATACTATTTTAATTTTAATAAAAAAAATCCGACCGATCGGCTGTTTAGCCGACCAGTCGTCGACTGCAGCCGACGATGAAAAACGGCCGAATAGTCGGCTTATCCGACCGGTCGGCCACTAGTCGGTACATCCCTAATGAAAACACATATTCAGATGTTAATGCCCGACACTTATCGTTATTTTTTATATTTTTCTTCAAATTTTAATTATTCTGGTAAAACACTGTACACGTTTAATTTTTGTTATTACAGTTTCAACAATGGGTTGTTGTTGCAATAAAAATAAAAATCAACGTTATTGTTATACTTTTACTGCCTTGTTGCTATAGTAATAAAAATTAGAATTTCTGCGATCAGTCAGCTTGGTGTTGCCAAATAATTTCCACAAGTTTAAAGTTATATTCGTGTAAAATCGTGATAAAAATTGAACATCTGAATGGCTATTCTGACGTGGTATGATTTCTACATAGTTTCATGATCTGACAGATTAGTGCGATCTTTTTTGACAATATAGAGTATTGGACAACTTTCGCTAAATGTCGCGGAAGTGAAAATGATTAACATATTTTGCCATTAGTTGTACTTCTGTGGTCAAACAATCCTTGATTATTATATCTAATTATTATTATTATTCCTTATGGTATATTACATATTTTGTTTTCACGAAAAATGTAGAATTTACAACCAAAGTACTGTATTCCCTTAGCATATTCATTCGCTAATGAAGTGATGGATATTTTGCTAAGGTACGAAAAAACTGTAAAAATTATATTGCTAAAGTACTAATTTAAAGTACGAGGGCCACTGAATATGTAATCTACCTGACTATGAAACAAAAGACAAACGATTTTGTGGCTAATTTCATTTTTTATATGGTTACCCCCTATATTATCGCATTTGCTCCACTTACTTTCCAATGAATTTATGCCCTTGAAAAAAAAGTTTTTTCTTAATCATCAAAAAATAGTAAACTGCTTCTTTTAGGCAGTCATCAGACTTAAAACGACGTCCGTAAGGGTTGAATCTTAGCCCCTTATGTACCGTCGTATTCTCGTGCAGCAGAAACACTTCTCTGTTTCGCATTAATTGTCTTACCAAAATTGTCGAGAACGTTGGCATAGTTGTCTGATTTTATTGTTGTACCTTTAGGCATGTATTCAATAAAAAGGATGCCTCTAATGTCCCGGAAACGCTTGCCATCAATTTTCCGGAAAATGGTTGGTCTCTGCTTTTTTTGGGAAGGGGGCCATTTGTGAACCCATTGCATCGATTCGGATTTTGTTTCAGGGTCCCAGTGGTGCATCCAAGTCTCGTCACTGGTCACAATTTGGGACAAAAGTCGCAATGCTCTTCAAAATTTCTAAATGATTTCGTGAAATTTCCACTCTACGCAGTTTTTGTTCTGGTGCCATCAATCTTAGAACTCACTAGATAGAAACGTTACTCAAGCGTTTTGGACGAGAGAGAACAATCTCTCGAGTACGGTATAAATGCAATATGACTTGTAACTAAGAAGCCAATACAATAATCTATCGAAAGAGCAACAACCTTTCTTGCTCATGCCTACAACGAATAAGAATCTTTGCATTTGAAACAAATTTTTAACAGCACCATTCATTCCACCCAGTGCTCGATGGAAATGTGCTTTGATTGGTATATTTTTACAAAGTATACACATTAACACATGAGAACCTTGAATGTCAGTTTTTACTAAATCTGAATGTTAGATCTACATCATCTAATACAATCTTAGAATACCTATACATCCTACTGTAGGGTGTACTTGTAAGCTGATCTTATTCAGAAACAGTACAGTTACGCTTCAAAGTCACAGTACCATGCAAGTAGGGTTGCAATGCAAACACAATTCAGTTCTTGGTGGGACAAATTGTCTTATTACTCAAAGAGCTTTTTATTGGTAAATGTATTAACATATGTTTTAAAATTTCTACTGTACTCATTATACATTATTGCGCAGGTAGGGGCACGTTTTTAACTTCACCCACCGTGGAGGGCCTTTGCCGACTATGAGGAAAGCGGCAAACTGACTTCCAAGCCAGCCCCGCCGGTACCTGGGCCAATGAATAACCTTTTGACGGGCCCGGGCCACATGTAAAACACCACGGAGCGCCCATGACTGGTGCCAAGCCCACGGAGCATTTTCAGGTTCAATCCTTCGAAGTGGATGGGCTTCGGGTCTGAAGGTTGTGAGTTAGTGTGGGCAAGGAGGGAACAGTGGACCCTCGAAGGGGGCACCCTATAAGCGGAAACCTTGGAGGAGAAGCTTTATATTAATCGGTCAAAATCCACCTGCTACGGCCGCTCAAGGACTGCGAGGCTTAGTTAGTTTTGAAGGATGTACCTACTGTCAAATTGAGGAGCGCTATGAACCACGTCGTACGATCCTCAGAACAGTTTTATACAGAACTGGTAAATGTGAAAACATCTAAGCCGAGAAGGAATACTTATATTCTGGTAAAGCTCTACCTGCGTGTTTAGGGAGCTATTCGTATAGTAAGGTATAAGATCAAGATGAGTAGGGCGAGTTAACTCACCGGTTGTAGGGTTGGCATCCACCACCGAGTTACTCGCTTTTTTGACTTACTTCGAAAGTTTTGCAGATCGAATTTTGTTTCTTATCTAGCAAACCAGCCAACCTCATTTTCTGCATTATGGACTCTAGTGTGGAAGTTATTAATATAGTAGTTCCACCAACATGTTCACTGGAATGTGAACTTACTTAGTGCGGCCACAATTTTGTTAACGATGAAAACAAACAGGCTCTAAGTAATTGAATGTGGTGCCTTACGATTAGTGTTGGTAAAATAGAGCCGAACATTCCCTGTTTAAAATTTTTTAGTTGTTGTTTGGAAAAATGATTTACTTACTGAGTTCTTCAGTTCCTTATTTGATCAAAATCACTCATCAGGAGGTGAAAACAACAATAAGGAAATTATTTTTGAGAAAATTTTCTTAATTTTCTAAATTAACAATGGTTGGAGTCGGCTAAATTAGGACTGTACGGAGGATGATCCAACTCCTAAAACTCGCATTTTTCAGTTGCAAGCAGAATCCTCCATACTGCTTTATACATTTGACATTATCCTGTAGTAATAAGATTATTTGCTTAGCAAATATCCTTTTTGTTCAATTGTGGTAAAGTCCTTTCAGATTTTGAGAACATTTATGTAGAACACTCCTTCCATATCTCAAAAGATCACTGCTGAAGAGTGAGTATGGCACTTTTTTGAGGGTAGCGTCTTATAAACTTGTATGGAATATGATTTGCTCTCAACTCCCCAGTGGACTCTCATCACTAGAGATAGTTCTAGAAAGATCAGTATCTGATTCTAAAAAAATGAAATTTTATTTCCAAATGACTATCTCATTCTAAAACAACCAAGTTTTATCAAAAACGAGTGCTTGAACTTTTTTCATTATTGCTTCATTGGTTGCCTCTGCAGGTCCTCCATTTCTTTTGTCATCTATTACAGGCTTTTTTACGCCATTTAAACTGTTTAGATAACAATTTAATTTCATAAAGAGACAACCAAGCTTTTTTTTTTTTGTTAATTGCAACTTGTCGCGTAACCTTTGGTGGTGGTTTTTCTTAAAAAAAAAAAAATTATCACAATTCAATGTTCCAGCAATTTCAATTTTGTGCAAAAAAATTGTTGCACAAGAACCATTTGACATAACTCACTAAACTTTATCAAACATGATCACAAAAATATCTACCTACCAGTGAAGTTTGTAACTCATTTGTTCATGCATTGTGGACCAATACGACTATTAAAAGAAACACTGGAACACGAGGTCTATTATGTAGTTAAGATAAAAAAAAAAAACAGAATTTTACGTAGTGGAGACATTTATATTATTTATTGAAAGCTTTTAAATACAGCACCTAATTTGACCTAAAGACTAGGTTTCGGGTACATAAAAAAAATACGCTTATACATAAACACATGCACCATACACAAATCGGTCGCCAGTCTAGGCAACCCAGAATACACGACATCAGGAATTCTTCCTTTCTATATATCGGCTGGTCAATTAAAAAAGTCATCACGTTGGCTTTGATTTCTTGTAAACGTTGTGAAGTATGTCAACAGAGATAAAATGTCAATTGTAGAGAGCGGTATGAATTAATAAAACACATGCGTTTTCCTCTACGTTTTCTTCTATGAAAAAAGGAACGCCAACTTGATGACTTTTTTAATTGAACACTCTTTATCTCTGGGCCTCCCAAAATGCTTTCCACACAAATCAAAGTCAATGTCAAATAAATTCACTAAATAATATATCACTGGCAAAATTGCATTAATTACACTAAAATTTAATAATACGCTTCATTTAACGGTCATTTTGCTAAAAGTGTCGAGTTTCTCCTGTTTTCGTTGACATCGTCCGATGTGTCTCATATAGACTCCATATTCGCAGACTGGAGTACCACACTGAGTTTCAATTATGCACCTAGTAAACATAATTATCTATAAATCAGCATCAGTTAAATGAAAACAACATACCTCCTGTCAGTAAGACTGAAAAATTCTTTTCCTTTCTTCATTCTGATGCAATCTTGATTATTCTCGTCGCAATCACAAGTGCATCGAGATTCGTAGTATCGGTATTTTGGAGTAAATTCCTCCGGGCATTTGCAGCTGCAACATGATATTAAAAAAGTGAAAAAAAAATTAAGATTATTCTGCATACATATATATGTATAACAAGTTGACTTTTAATCATGGCTTCGAGATTAATAAATAAATATAATTTTGCGATACAGGCACAGCTCTTTTTATTATATTAATTATATCGTTTTTTTGTACTTGCACCAAACTATAATTCTTTGAATTTTTTCATTTTGAATACTGTCATAAAAAATAATTTCATTTTCGATTAATTTACTTTAAAACTATAGTAATATAGAGAACATAAGTATCCTAGCGAAAATTTCTGTAGGCAATACTTCTTAAAATAATCATGCTGTAGGGATATGAGCGGTCTAAAAACAATTTCCCGCTTTTGGTGCTTACGTGAGGGTAAGGCATGAACTGTAAGTGTTGGGTTACATAGGTTAAATTTGGTCCACAATTAATCGTCGATCCATTTCATTCCCTTGCTCTAAAAGAATACTACAGAAACGACACTTTCGATAATTTTAAGCAATTGTGACTCTTATTACAGAGTAGATAGAAGTTGTGGAAATCCAGGTGAGTATCCTGACCATCAGGTGTCGTTATAGCTTGCCTCATTTTACATGTTATGTTATATTGTGCCGCAACTATCTATTTTGTTATCATGAAAAAGAAGTTTTTACCAAAGCAAATTAATAGAAAATTCTGCTCTGATTCCATAAGCTGGTACGTCCATATTCCCAGCAATAGTTTTCACCCTAATCAATTAAAAGTTACAGCTACGGTTACAGGTATCATAATTTTCATTTTTCGCTTAGGATTTCTACTAAAATATAATAGTAATAATAAAAGTTCGTGTTGCGGTTACGGTTTAGATCAACCAATGAAAACATGAAAAAAAAATGTGGATACCATTGGTACAATTGGGCCCACGGAATAGTTTATGCGTTAATTTTCCTAGTTTAATTATATAAAAAGTCATAGGCGTACATGGATTAAAATCTCAAAACATTTGTCACTTATTCGTATTATTTGAAACTTAAACGCCACTGTTGTGTCATTTTGACATAAATAATATCCGTTTTATCATTTATTTCTATTTGATGCAAGAACGCTTTGGACTGAGATTAATTTAGCGTTGTAGTTGTATTTTAAAATGATACATTTTACTGTGGTTTTAAGAAATTGAAATGATCTCCTACCGTGTGTCATCATATTCATTTCATTTTCAGCAAATACTCTGAATTTAATATTGATATAAACAATTAGTTATTATTATGGCTAGCCAGCATAGGTGGCGTAGAATAACACAAAAGATCTGATAACATGTCGGGACTGTAATATTACTAATATTCTCTCAACACACATGGTCGCAGATTTCACCACTATGGCAAACTATAGAGTAACTTTAAAAAACCTAACAGCCCTAAAAATTGAAAATATATTTTTTTAAAGATGAGGATGCTTTTAAAAAATAAAGACACAAGGGTTTTTATTTAGGATTTATATTGGGGTTTCGAAAATCAAAAACTTTTGCGTTGAAATAAGGGTTTTTAAGGTTTTACACAGTCCCTTGCGTAAATTTAAATCAAACGGATAGAGTTGGTAATCAATAAGGGTCACTTTCGCTTAAGTGTCACAGCGTCACTTCTCTTGCATTCGTTGCTACCGGCTCAACTCAATAACTGACAGAATTCGGTTTCGATAACTGATAAAACAGAGTTGTTTCACAAAGTAACTGTTGTTTAATCCCATCGGTAACAGATTGTTCTGGTTCCAATAAAATGACAGTGATAAAGCATGAGATTCGAAAGTAATACCACATCACTTCATTAGTAATGCAGATCAGTTCTAATCAGACGTGATATGTTATAATAATTTCCTAATAATAGATCTTTAATAAAGTGACTACAAAATACCCAAGCAGCAGACTGTCGTCTAATTCACGTCAATCACGTGATAATGACGAGATTTTTATGACTTACTTCTGACGTCAATTAATGACGTCAAAAGGCCGTCCTTTCTTAGTCATTTTTTTATAGATTATATGATCAATTAGATGTGGATCGTCGTATTCTTTAAAAAGTGGCCTTCATAATGCTTAATTATCTTTAGAGCAAAAAAAAAACAACGGCTTTATTAGAAATAAACCAAAGACAAGTTTTTTCATCTAATAATTTCTAATCAAATAATTATTTCTGAAAACTTGTTTATACTCTGGAAGTGTTATTTTGTAAGTACCTGCTTGGCAAATTATAAATAGAACATCCGGGGTTGAGCGTATAATAGTGAAAAGACCCCACGACACAAACAAAGTCATAAAAATTCTTTGTCCATTGTCCCTAAAACGGGACAAGGTTTTGAAGAATTCCTTCGTCGAATTTTGATTTTATAAAGACGTTTATAAAGTGATGATGGTTACCAAAAAAATTAGAGAGTGATTTAATATTTAGTTTTATTAAATTTATTTCATCTAATGAAAAAATAATGCTCAACTTTACCATACATTACATCAGATGTTTGAGGCGTGCATTCGGACTTCCCCTTTTTTCGGTATTTATGTTTATTGCACTTCACAGTGAAGCATCCCAATATTTCCAGTTGGTTCTCAACTGCCGAAACTTTCTCGTTACTCACTTCATTTTTAACGCAGTTTTGTGAAAATTTCTGTACAGTGTGGGTTATACTTATTTACACTAGGTAAGTTAATATCTAATAAAGTAATCATTTTAATTCTTACATGTTTCTGTTATTTTTGATAACAGTACGTAGATAACAAAAGCAGTTTTTTTAAGAAAGACCACCATTAATCACTGAAGATACTCCCACTGATTATGAAGAACTTACGGTGATTGTTTTTGAAAATGAGGCGCCATAAAAAAAAGGTATATTACTGCAATTATTTATGTACTAATGCTAATGAACATAGTTTTATTCTAGATTTGAAACAAATACAAAACACATGTGCGGAACGAAAGAAATGCTAAAGGAAACGAGTGAAAAAATCTCCAACATGGAAACGTCATCAAATATGACAACTGAAAAAGAAAACAAAAATAGAAGTTATGCCGCCAAGACCACACCTAAACAAATTTTGACGAATTACAAGATTATCTTTGCCTATTAGAATAAGCAGATTTCTTTGTAAGTTAAAAAAATACAATGAATTCATATATACATATAACATAATTGTTCCGGCTCGAGGGACCAATGTTCCGGCTTGAAGTGCCAATGTTTCGTATGTACAATCCGAATCGTAGTACCAACGTTTTTTGTAATTCGGTTGATACGACCATGTATGGTCTTCCGAATTATACCTTGATATTGCTCGAAGGACCTTTGTTTGTTATAATTGAAATAATGGACAGCGTTCGGTTTTGATGTTTAATATAGGACGGTTACAGAAGTACAGAAGTACTAAAATTACAGTGCTATTTACAAAATCAGGTAAAGATACCCAAAAGGGTGAGTGGCCGCTTCCGGAAATGCAACACATAATATTGGATATTATATACAGGTAGATGCCTGTAATACTACGATATTTTTGATAACTTACTATACATGGCACATTTCGCTTCATTGTAAAAAGTATTGACAACGAGATTTTCCTGATAGGCTATATTTGTCAATGCAACCATTTTACGATTATCCGTTAGATTCAAGTAAATTTAGCATTTTTAAAATGCAGAATTTGTCTTCTGCTTTAAGCTGTAATCCCTTAAATTTAATAATTTGGCTATTATTGCCCATAGACGAAAAAATGATTGCATTTCCATTAATCCATGCACTCTAATGGGTTTTTCTTTTCAGTGCAATAAATTAAGGCAAACTTAAAAAAGTTAGGTTATTAATGATTGTTAAAACAGAATTAATTCTTAACGGTACTTTTTTGTGTGTTGGGGACAGTCAAGTCGTCGTGAATTAGAAAGTTTTACAGTGTATTTTCAAAGCAAGTAACTTCAACAATGCGATTCAACTGTCTTTTCCCTTTATTCTAGTTTTTTTTTTATATATTTTTTGTAAATAGATTTGTTTGTGTTTTTAAGACTGATTTATAGTTTATTATAGTTTTCTTTTAATATTCTTTGTAACTGAATAAATTTCTTTGTGTTTTTAAAACTGATTTTTCTTTAAATAGCATATTTTATTGCAACGTTTATTTTTGATTATATATTGTATATTATCCTTTTTTTTGTTTATAGTAATTTGACTCTCTTTACCTGTATGTAGATTTGTTTGTGTTCTTAAAAGTAGTTTATCATTAATTTGTTTAATTGACATATATTTTTTTATTTGTTTATTGAAGTTCATTGTTGGTTGTACAGAATTGTAGTAAATTTAATTTTTGTACACTAATTTGTTTTAACTTTAATTAATACATATTTTGTTTTGGGGTTTACCTGGTGATTATAACGAATTATAATATTTTATTTAAGGTAAATAACATAAAAATATAAAAGTATTTCAGCGTTTTATTTATTGCATATTTTTTTCTAAAAATCAAAATATAAAAAACGTCTTAAAATGGACAATAAATGCCGTCTATTAGACGTCAGTACATCACGTCAATAGTTCGTCAGAAAATGACGTCATCTGGACGAGACATCTAACCGTCATTGATACGTCAATATCACGTGAAATCTTTGGTCACTATGACGTAATTGATGACCATTTATTCACGTGAAAAAGACGACATCATGTTGCCTGGGTAATCTCGAAGTTATTGTAAAAATTACACTATTGACTAATATGGTACATATGTTGTTGCTTCAGTTATAAAAAAAATGATAGATTTGTGTCGCTTCTGAGATAACTGATAAATTAAATTAGTTTAGTGTTTTACAGATATTGTGAGTAAATAATTTTAAAAATAGCGATGCATTATTATTATTATTACAATAATATTGTCATCTGAAATCTGAAGATAAATATATTAATTTCGACTAATAAAGTATACTACTATGTGTTCCTAGAATTTCGAAAAAATTAGATACGTCGATTTTCACGTAATCAATAAAATAAATCGTGCCATTCAGTAATTGTCCGGAACATATTTCTCAAAAAAAAATTAATTGAATAACTTTTAGAGAGAACTCCTTAAAGGAGAAGAATAAACATAGTATAGTCCATATCTTGCAAATACTAAATCAATGTTAGCAAGGTTTGAGAGAAGACCATCATGTAGTTAAAAAAACTGTAAAATTTTATTTTATTTATCTTACGATTAAGATTGAGATTTACTTTACAAAATTTTGAAATGATGTCAGGTTTTTGAGGGAGAAAGATAGATAAATTTTGATTGGTGTTTTACGATCTACACAATAATCTTGATCATCTAAATCAATAATTATATTTCATTTTCACGTCATTCATGATAGCATGACAGCAGTTTAGATAAAAATGGTTAGCAACCTCAAAACGATCTGGTATTTTAAATTAGTATTTATAATTGAACAAAGAAATAGGGTAACTAATAATACAATTTGATAAAGGACAATTTTCTTAAATATTTCAGAGATTTTTCTGGGCCAGCAACCTCTCTTACGCCAGCTAGACTACCATTTTTGTCATAATGTACTTGAAAATCCGCTGAGACGCGTCCTTGATAAAATCAGGTGCTTTCAAATATTGCTAACCCTCCGTCTATGTACTTTTTTTTTTTTTAAATATTATAATTCGCTTTACATATTGCTCGTTTTTAATTGAAAAAGTTGAATATTTCAGTACATTAATTAGTCCAAAGGTTACTTAAAAATATCTGCAAATTAAATGTATCGAAAAACACAAACACTGAAATTAACATATATTTTTTTATTGTTAATTAGGTATTATTTTATTATATTCATTCATTCATATTAATAATTCAACACAAACGTCGAACTTACTTAAGACACGGACTACTGGTCCACACTATGAAAATAGTTGAATGCAATTTCAATCAAGGCCAAAAGTCATGTCAAAAAGTGTGAATAGCTAGCTATCTGATTATCAGCCTCTCACGTTATTATTTAGGAATTTGCAATTCCATCAGAGAACATCTGGACATGGTCAGTATGCATGTTGTTTTCATACAGCCGTGTTTCTTTTCCTAATTACCTACCTACTTGGAGGTTGGACGTGATTCTGATGCTTAACTTTTTGACATCTAATGCACACCATACGACTACTTTCGGTTACTAAATAAATTTCACATTGTGCGCGGTTTAGTTATTCCAGTTTAGGAGACCAATAGATTAAAATATTAAAATAGGTGGGTATTTACTCTGTAATCTGTAATATTATTACTTACTGTCTAATATTCTCCGGATATGACGCCAGCTTCAGTGACAATCCATGGGTTAACTGATTCTCGGTGGTCGACGTGATGGGAGTGTGTTTTTTCGACTTTTCTATACAAGCGCATTCGGTGTGATTGTAGAAAGTCAATTTTTCAACTTTGGTTTCAGCGACGCCTAAGGTTTTCGTCTGAAATAAACACAGGAAATATAACATAAATTGTGTTGAGAGAAAATTGTCTGAGATTTATTGCCGATAGCAGATTATCTGGTAAACAACAAAAACGCTCCAATAAATTTAATCAAAATAAACATTTTTAGGGTTCACTGAGGCATTTAAATCTGTTCGACGGTTATATCCATTTTTTATGCGTGCCATAAACCTGAATATATATATCGTCTGCAGGATTGTAGCTGTTCTCCATATATTGATAGAAGTATTTCCTTAAAAAGAGATTTGAATTTTATTGATGGTAAAGTTAATAAAAGTGCAAAAATGTGCGCAATAAAAAAGCAATATATTTTGGAGATACCATTTCTCATTATGTAGTGTTTTCTTTTCAGTCTGAATACATCTGAAATTTTTATATTTGTATATCACTATATTAGCCGAACCGTGCTAGATTGCTTTATTTTCTGTTTTAAATAACTGACTGATGATTACTTTTTACGCAATAAATAATGGTTCGTGATTATTCGTTATTACGAAAGTTACAACACAGGGGTACTTAATCCTACGTTTTTTTTCCACATCCCACAAGTACTAGTTAAGGTGAATAAATATAATAGGAATAATCGTAATTAAGTGATGTGCAATCCAATAGCAATTTAAAGGAAACGTTTATTAAACAATAATTTATTTTCAACTCATTACCAAGTAGTGAACATCACGTTTTATGCCCCTGTGAACAAAATACCGGAAATGTTGAATTGAGCTTTAAGTTTATTTAAATAGGTATGTTAATATTTTGTTTCGTAATAAGTGAATGTATTCGTACTGTAAGAATTTATGTCCGATTGCAAAGCAGAAGTGTGAAGTCATTTATTTACGTATTTTTAAACTAATGCGACTAAATAAGTATTTTTCTTACGTTGCACCCAATACACCCTAAATTAATTTTAACTACTGCTAATTAAGCAGCAACTTTCTCTGTTTAAATATTTAAAATTTATGTATATGTACTTGTGTAAAAATATAATATAAGTGAAAATTGATATTTTACAATTTTTATAAAATTTCGCTTTGTGACGTAGGTATGCTTTTATACTTTTTGAAATTACTATGGTTTACATTTTAATGCCAACGAAATATAACGTATTTTCTGTAACACAAGAAAAGTATAAACTGTATAAGGTGAATTAGGAACACTAACTGGTCAACTTTAAGAAACAAACACATAAAAATGCGGTCATGATCATTAATGAGTTAAACGAATGAGTGCAAATTATTAAAAATTACTTTTTGGTGAAGTGTTTGGAATGTACCATACGATAAACGCAGAGGGTTCTAACATTCGTGAATTTAAATATCTTCACAAATATTCACTGATAACTAATGCATGATTATCAATGAATTTATTCTAGTCTCGAACAAAAATATGGAAAGCAAAAGTTGAAAGGTTTTATCTCTGCTCGTATTTTGTGGTTATTGAAATTCTATTATACTGTGAACTGAGCGGAACTTTCAAACACGGTTGTGATAAAATATTATTGTGTTTATTCAGTGTTTATCATTTCAATATTTGTTAATAAAACCATTAGTTTCCCACGATTGTTTTGCTTTTCAGTGGAGAGATCATTTTAAAATTTCGACTTTTAATTAGTTTTACGGTCAGAAAAAAAATTCTATACATAACGACTGTTTTTACTTTCCGAGCATAAGCTAAGGAAGTATTGTAAAAGGATCCATCCGGAGAATGGCTACTTTCATCTTTACTCGCCGTTTCATGACCCCTAGAGTACGAAAAAGTACCCGTCTGTCTGTGTCCATTTTCATTAGACAGATAAACTCTGAAACTAAAGAATCTAAAACTAATCATCTCCAGTAACAATGTAATGACGGCACCTCAAAAGGGGTATAGTTTATAATTCCTTTTACAACATTTTACAATTTAAATTTCAAACTTCAAATCCAAATGCTCTGAAATTTTGCAGACGTTTTAAGGATATCGTTAGCATGGTAAATCATTAATCATAATTTATCCGTTTACCACAAAAAGCCTAATAAAATTAGCAATAGATAAACAGGCGATTAACAGACCGAAAGGAGCGACCCATATTTTCGTATTCTACAAATTGTGAAAAGTCGAGAAAACATGAAGGTAAACTATATGATACTCGTATTGACAATTTAGCTTTTAATCATTTACATTCGTCAAAATGCGTTGCTCATATGAAAAGTTAATTAAGTTAACTTTGTGTTTTAAAAAAGCACCACTATTTAAAAAAAGATCTACTAATATTATTAGACAGAACTTCGCTCACACCTGAAGTATAATAAAACAAATCTATTTTCCCAGTATAAGAAAGAAATTGGCCCATGAGGGTATCAAACCTACAACCTTGTGTTAACACCACGACGCTCTAACCAATTTGTTTTCCTCTTACATTACTGTAAAACATGATACAATTTTTTTTTTTGGAAAATCTGACGGCCTGAGGGAAAAAAATCAAGGCAAATTCATAAACCACAAGTACAAGAGTATGTTATTTTATAAAATAAATTACATTTACCATGGAATACCAAACAAATTTTGGTTCATGTTTTACCATCTAGACGATATTCCTGAAATACTACTTATCGTCGACATAGACGGCAGACAAATGGAAAAAAGAGACCTACGTTACGCTCGAGAAGAAATGATGTTTTATTTAATAATTTTTGACCTAAATTGTAAAATAAAAATTATCGTACTGTGAGCGCCATAATAGTACCTAATTGTTTATTGATACAAAATTACAACGTCTACAAGCACAATGGGTACAGCAAAATAGTAATTTTCAATAGTAGCACTACATTTTTTTTTCCTAATTAACAAAAACCAAATAAATAGATTTTATAAACCAAATAACTATTTTTTTTCCTTTACCCTATCCCCCTTGCCCCAGCCTTACTCTTGTCCTCTCCACTTCTTTCATCCATTCCACCCCTCTTCCGTCTTCATTCAATATCTCTGTCACACTCTCCTTTCTTTCTTTGCTCTCCTTACAGTCATGCAGCATGTGCTCTATCGTCTCTCGCCCTTTTCCACACATTCTCTCACCTTCGCTTACCCAAAACTTATTATTTCTTTCTTCATTTCCACACCTAAATCTCGCAATTATTGTGTACTTATGTACTTTGGTATTGTTTCTGTTATTATCTTTCTATAGTCTGCATTGTACCTAAATTTACTTACACTCGCTCTTCTCTCTTGTTTATCTATGTCTCTGTCACGCATACACAACTCTTCTCTCTTTCATAATATCCTTGTCTACCCTTGTGATGTTCTTTCCCTGCTTCTTTTTCCTTCCAGCATTCATACAATATCCTACATTCCTCTCTTTCTTTCAACCTTTCATCATACTTTACAGCTCTTTCCCAGTCTATACTCTTAATTTCTCTCGTTTACATTCTTCTCTTACTATATAGCCTGGCGTCTCTTTCCGTAGGCCTAACATCCACCTCAAATATTTTTCTTTTACTGCTTCCATCTCTGCATATGCTTCCGTCCCCATATCTCCACTCCATGCATTAATACACTCCTAACTAAACTATCAAACATTTTCATCCTTCTTCTTACGTCATGTCCAAATATTCTCTCACCTATACTCCACACCATTCCCATTATCTGCATTGCTTTGACCCTTGTTTCTCTTATGTGTGCTTTGACCGTGTTAGTTGTTGTAAACTTAAATCCTAAATATTTAAACTCCTTTACTGTGTCTATGATTCGATCTTCCCAACGCCACACTTTTTCCTCCCCTTTTCTCCCTTTTTTTCTAAACACCATCATTTTTGTTTTTTCTATATTTACCTCCAGTTTCTTTCTTTTAAAGTATCTTTGCAGATTTTTTTTCATCTCATTCATTCCACATTCATCCTTCGCCAATATTACCAAATCATCTGCAAATGCCAAACACTATACCTTTTCTTTCCCCACTACAATTCCTCCCGCTTGTACTCCTCTAAACATGTCCTCGATATCGCTTATGTAACAAGCAATCAGACTGGGACTTAATGGGCATCCCTGTCTCAATCCTTTCGTCGTCCAAAACATTTCACTTTCTATTCCTCCCACTCTCACACTAGTCACTGTCTCTCTATAAATCTTTCTTGCTGCTACAATTAACTTTTCACTCAGTCCTCTTCTCTCCATGCATTCCCACAAACACTCTCTGTCCACAGTATCAAACGCCGCTTTTAGGTCTACAAACAGTGCATATACCCCGACCTCCTTCCTTTAGCAACTCTTTTTCTATTAGATGATGCAGGATATATACATTGTCCATAGCCCCTCTACCTCTTCTAAATCCCGCTTGACTTTCCGGTAATACACTCTTTTCGTTCATCGTTTTCTATAATTATTTTTTGCTTGCCAGTACTCTTCTTTTATACCTTTCCCCTTTTTCCACCTTCGTAAACATTTCCTTGCTTCTGTTTTTAAATCTCTGCATCTGCTATCCCACCATCTGTTTCTCTTTTCTAATTTTCTCGTTACAATTTCTTTTCTTATGGCTGCTTTTTCAATTTCTCTTTTTAATTCTTCCATTTTCTTTTCAGTTCCTTTTTCTTTAAATTCCACTTCCAACATTTTTTTTCATAATGCTCAATTCCTTTTTCATGCCATACTCTTCTTCTCTTTTCCTACTTCATTCCTTAAGCATCCGCTCCCTCTACTTATGCCCCTCACTTTTACTTCTAGTGACATGTGATCGGAGTCCACTCTTTCTCCTATCTTGAATGTTTCTACCTTTTCTTCTGCTAATCCGTTTACAATAGTAATAGACTACGTAATAACGTAGTCTATTACCGATTCCTCTCTTATACCTATCCAGGTAAATTTCCCCTCCTCGTCCCCTTCCTTCCCCCCATTCAAGACTTCCCAACCTCTTTCTTCAATTAATTCCCATAGCAATTTTCCGTCTTTGTTTTCTACTTTATCTTTCGATTTTCGTGTGTTTTCGCTGTCTTCTTCCCTGTTTTTGTTC